AGGTGAATTGACGTGACTTCACGCTGGGCAACATGAATAGATGAATATGAATGTGTGTACAAACGAGTTGAAATGTTTTAACTTTAGCAAAAAATGAGTGCAGAGCTGATCGACACTGCAATCTGGTTGTGAGTCTCCTGAGAGAATCAAAAATGGAGGACAAATTATCGCAGTCTGAGGACACCCAGAGCATCATCAACTCAAGGTCAGGGTTTAGGCAACAAAAACATGTAGCTGGGTTTTGGAAAAAAACAGGAATTGGCTTCACAATCATACGGAAAGCAAACACCGACCTCCTAGCTGAAAGTCGGTGGTTGGTGGACCCTCCCACCCACCGTACCTGGGCCTCTGCCGCTTTAACTTGCATTGTTGTCCAGCCCTGTTCCCCCCCGACGCCACTTGGCGCCATTAAACAATAACAGCAATGGGCCGCGCATCATGCCAATGTGAAAGGACGGCTTTGTTTGTCAGTCTGACGCCAGAAGTCACTGACAAGGTGCCAAAACTGACATCATTAATTGAGACCGTAAACTCGTTAGGAAAATGTTACTGAGGTCATAAAACATGTGACAAGTATTTTCTCACTGACATCTATCCGAATAGACTGGAGTCGCCCCCTGCTGGACATTAGAATGAATGCAGGTTTAAGGCACTTAAAGGCTTTGTTCACTCCTGTTATAGAGTCCGTGGGTCAGACTTGAGATTGACATCAATCTGAACATCTGACTCTGAGAGATACTGACTCAGGTGTGACACATTAACCTGAGTCAACACCAGGCTGAACTAACAGAAACCTTCAGGAGCTGCAGAAGAAGAGCTGCAGGCTGACAGCTCGTCTTCCTCTCTCTCTGCTGTTTCATTGATCCCTGGAGGTCAGTAGGTGTGTGTGTGTGTGTGTGTGTGTGTGTGTGTGTGTGTGTGTGTGATTACAGTAATGTCTTAATGACAGATGACATCACACCCTCAGTCAGACCATCTGTCTCCGCTCTGGGAACATGAATAAATGATTAATCCCACTTTTCATGTAGGAGAGATGCTGCGATGGCAGCTCAGACACACTGACCCTGAGTCAGTCTGCGCACACACACACACACACACACACACACACACACACACACCTCTAGCTGGAGAGCTAACTCTTAACATGCTGACACTCGTCGGCCACAGAATCTCTGAGCTTCTCGGTGCTGCTCTGTTCACTCCGTCACATTTTGTCCTCAGGATTGTTCTTCGTTTCATTAAAACCTCCTGTTTATACTCTTCATAAAGTTAAACTCATTAAATAAATAGAATTTTTTTCACTCGCTCAGAGGTTGGCTGTGTCAGCACTCCGAGAGGCTCAGGGTTGGAGATGGACGAAGCTGTCTGTTTGTTCTCTGTATTAATTATGTATCACTATTATTATTTTTAATAAGAATTATAATAATAATATTAATTATTATTGCACATATTTGTGCACATTTTCTGAAAGCTTACGGATACGGACAAGACGGAGCAGAAGCACTGCAGATTGTGAAGGCAGTGTAGCGTAGTTCAGGCGAGATGCGACTGTAGGAGGTGACAAAGAAATTTAAATAATGGCAGAGCAGAACAAATTGCTGATATATATAGTCTGTCCACGTGCATGCATGGTGTGTCCATCCATGTTTGCTTTTCCCCGCTTTGCCAGAACCGCCAGTGAGTCTCTCTATCTCTCTAGAGCCATTCCCCTTCGCAAGTTAGCATGCTAAACAAGCTAGTTGTCAGTTAGCTAACACTCAATCTGGAAATCCATCGGTAAAAAAATAAATTAAAAAATTTTTTTTTTCCTCTTTACCTCTGGAGGCACAGCCCGGAGTTTTTCAACTAACCGAAGTGCAGGGGCCTCGGCGATTGATCACGCCCTTCACTTCCGGCGGTTCCCCCAGGGAATCAGCGTGTTGTTTACAAATACTTCGGGTAGAAAACCAGCAGAGTTTAGCTATATATCACATTTTTCATGTCACTATATCACCGTGTAGACTAATCTGATGTTTGTTAAGTCTATAAACACAATGACTGAACAAACGCTACTATTTCCGTGTGCACGTTTTGTAATTAACATGGTTATCGTAGATTAGCTGGGCTAACCGTTAGCTGTGTCTGTAATAACCATAGACTGTATAAATATAAGGTAATAACTCAATAAACGGTCCGTGAATAAAATATTTTTTCTAGCGGATATCTTAGTTACAACATGATTGAGCTAGCAAAGCAGTTTTGTGTTGCTATGTGTGGTATTTATTCAGTTTTGGGAAATCACGATGTCTAGAAAGCATCAGTGGCTGCAGCTGACAGGGACAGTTAGCAACATCGGGATGTCATCTGTTAAAAGCCTCCCGTTGTTGGATACGACATGAAACTACTGCAGTTAGCTCAATCATGTTGTAACTAAGACATCCGCTGGAAAAACTATTTTTTTTCCACGTTGACGAGACAGCGTTTTGGGTGGAGCGGTCGCTATGGACGCGGAGCTTGGTACACATTTCAGACTCAAAGCCCCCCCCCCCAGTTGTGTTTCACACATGGCTGCCGACAGATTCTCCAATGTAGATTGCAGAATCTGTCTTGAGAGATTAGCTAACACTATACAGGTGTGGAACGAGCCAAAATAATTTGTTAGCTGGGCTAAACAAGTATCTGTTAGCTGGGCTAAGGGACAGTGTGGGGGGCTAGTTAGCAAGCTAAAAAAGCTTGGATAGTGACGTCCTGGTTAAGGAGTGAGCTAACCCCCTGGTGGATCATTAAGGCGCTAGCGAGGGTAGCTAACAGCTTTGATGAGGTTAAGTAAAGAAAGACTGAAGAAATGAGACTGTGTCTTCCTTCGTCTGCAACAGTAGATCTTGCGAGGACGTAACCTCCAAACGTGTCGTACCGACCAGAAGGGAACACTCTGAGAGGCAGATTTCAATTAACGAATGCACTCTAATTATAATATTCATTTATTATGATATTCACTTATAATAACATCTCATTTAGCCACTTGTTAGCAACTGCCTTTTTAAGACATATTAAAGTTACAATGTGTAATTTACGTGGTTGTTTATTAGCAAATATCAACTGTTGCTTTCATAAATATATATTTAATAAAGTGTAATGCAATTCACATACAAATGGAAGCTTTCTCATAGGCTTAGAATGATTTCTCTATATATACACAGGCAGGGCGCGGTCTGCTGGAGGCTGCCTTCTTGCGTCGGCATATTTGAATACAGTGGCTGAAAGGGATATACGCACTTCGCCTTCCTCATTTACCTACAACTTGCCGTCACTGGAGACGGTTAAGGTGAAGCTCAATCCGGGGCGCTTCTGCGTGAACCTGCTTTGTACTTTTATGATTCTGTTGCACTTTAAATGGAGGATCACACATATGTTTTGCCCCGTAAGAGGGAAACCACGCCACCAAATAAAAGAAAAAGATCAGATAAGCGAGGACGGGACAAAACGTGAGTGAATATCGGCGTTGCTTATTCCAGGTGGAAAGAACTCGTGAAGGAGAAGGATTTCACAAGGGATGTGGAGGTTGCCTGCTTTCTGCTAGACAGGTAATTCAATCTGATGTTTTAAACTCATTTTGGCTTCATGTTTGCAACTACTTTTCCCTCTCGTCTGAGTGACAGCTACATTTACGTGCTAACGTTATCCCAGAGCTACAGCTACATGGTTAGCCTAGCCTACAGCCTAATCTGTTGATTCCTCTCACGCTGCTGCGAAGGCTGCCATCCTCTCCACCCTCTCCACCTCCTCTTCCCTCTGGGGAGCCGAGACACACCTCTTCCCCTGGCCGTTCCTGCACCGCCTCTACCCTCTCGCCCCCTTCCTCTCCCTGGTCTTCCTCCTCTTCCTCATCTCCCTGTGTCCTGTGGAAGAACACTCTGGAGACGCATATATTATAATCGTACCAACCTATATTTGCCGCACTGTGCCGTGACTATCACATAAAAAGTTATTTTAGCATCACTGTGCTAATGTTTGCTCGTGTTACCAAAACAATTAGAAATAAAACGCTCCTAACATATATCTCACAGATAACTATATCTCACTGGTAAGCTTTAACATATCGTAACATGGTTTAGATTCCTAAATAAATATTCACCTTGTCGCTAGATACTCATGGAAAAACTCTTATCTGCGCAAGGCTTTTTGTTCTACGAGGCCACCGTCACTTACCCAACGGGAGGGGTGAGTGAGTGAGCGCTGCAATCTAGAATTTGACCGCTGATGTCACTGTTAGTCACCATTTTTACACACTGAGGCTTTAAAGCTTCTAAATTCACAGTGGGGTGTTCACTGAGGAAATTTCTGGTGTAGAACAAAACTTCTCTTCAACATCATTCTCTCTTAACAGGAAGTGCTCACATGCTAACTCTTTCCTGGGTTTTAGGACTCATAAAGTGCCGAAGTCACGCCCCTTCCCTTCAACAGTTTTACCACAAACTATGACTTTCTTGACCTTAAAATTTATGTGTTAAATTCATTAACGACATATTTGGATTTCATGTCACAACTCAAATGGGACCAAAAGATAATATTTCTCTCCTCATTCACTGCCATTCATATTTTTTCCAATCTAAAGTCCCATGAGCTTCAGGGGCGTGACTTCGGCACTCTATTCCTAAAGCGCTCTGTTGGGATTGGACCTCTGACTTAATGTAACGTCAGTAAGATGAAAACAGACACAGAAGTCAGTCACCATTCAGAGACTTATGGACGTCTGGCTTCAGCTTACTGACTCTAAAGTAACTACACGATTAAAAACATAATTTGTTTGTCTTCAGCTTTATGTCGTCCTCAAACAGAAGAAGCTTCTGTGGGGACACTGGATAGAAACAAGTTTAGGAATTCAAACAGTCATGTGATCATTTTGTTGCACATGAACAAGTTTTTCATTCTTTGGGCCACGTTAGCTAAACCCCAGAGCGTTTTACTTCCTATCTTCAGTGTTTCTGAATCTTTGGTGAAATGGATAAAAACACAGCCAGTCAGAAAGAATGAGCCTGTTTATTAGCCCTCATGTTAATCATCATCATCATCCATCTTCCTCTTCCTCGGCCACCGACAGTCTTGTGGCTCGGGTTCATACACAACTCTATCTGTCAATAGAATCTAATAGAAAAATCTGCAGGTTACAGTTAGGACATCTGTCCATTAGAAAAACAACAGAAACCAAGAAACCAAAAAGCTCCCCGCCACCCCTGCAGGACGAGGGGTCGGGACTAGGAAGATCTAAACCAGAGTGGACGGGTGACGTCGTGTCCAGTCCTGGTTCTGGGATGTCTCAGAGGCTCGGTGTGATTGGTTTGGACCCAACGCGGGTTCAAACAGTCCACACTGAGCTTGACCTGGGGCTGGACTCCAGGACACCGTCCACTCCAGTGATTTATAATTATTTTTCGGGGAGTAAAACCCCCTCACTACAGCTCTCCTCGTCTCGGAGCAGCCACGTTAACGAGCTGTGGGACTGTTCAACACGCCTGCGACGATAACTCTCAGCTGTAATCACATGGTCCGATTACAGACGTGTTGAAAAGTCGCCAACTTTTTAAATGTGGCGAATTCCAGACGCATGGAGACAGACGGACAAGAAGAGATAGAGACAGTTAGCCTAGCAGTCTTGAGAAAATAACACATACTCAGCTTCTCTTTGCAAATCGGTTAGACACAACATGTGAATTAAACAATATCATTTTTAACAAAGTACATGTTTAACTGGAGAGCACCCGCCAGAGAGTGGAAATTTACACAAACCATATTATCTTATCCACAAACTGAATATTCAAAACTGGATAAAGAGATTTAAATAGACCCCTGTACAGGAGAACTCATTATTATCGTCGTCATTATTATTATCATCATCATCATCGTCACACATACAAGAAGAAGCAGAACCACTGATTCAATATTCAACTCAACAACCGCCAGATCTCCCTCAACGCAAGACAAACCTCTCTGTGGTCCGACACAACGCTCAGATAACAAACACACAACTCTCAGATAACACACAATGCTCATTTAACGTACACACAACGCTCAGATAACGCACAGACAACAAACGCACAATGCTCAGACAACAAACACACAACACTCCGGTAACAAACACACAACGCTCAACTGATGCACAAAAAACACACCAGACATACGACCCACGATGCTAACATACATACATACAGCTCAGGCTGGATTACATCTCTACGAAGATACGAAAACGTCTCTGTGAATTTACGATGTTCTGGGTAACTGTATTCTAACTAGCAACTTTTACAAATTCTAAACATAAACAAGTTGATTCGTAGATTTACAAAAAATCCTGTTGGTAAGGAAAAGCTAAAAAATACTTTCACAGTCATACATGTAAAAAACAGCCACGAAAACATCTCCAAAATCACAAATGTGCATGTTCGCAAGTGTTACACGTTTTAAACAAGCTAACTGGTAAATCCAAAATCCCGTTCAGAGGTGGGTCCGATAAGGAAAAGCAAAAAATTCCCCGTTTCCATTTGAATAAAAAATTACCATGACGTTTTCTTCGTGAATCTTATCTAGCCTCAACGGACACACAACATACAGCTAACATACACACCGTTTGGCTAACACACAAGTTTAGCTACAAGTTACCACACAAAATAATCAAGCTAATGAACATGCACCATTTAGCTAATGCACATTCAGCACCATTAAGCTACTAAACACAGTTTTGCTAACGTGTAGTTTAGCTAGCCTGTTCTTATTGCCTGCACACTAGCTACTGAATATTCAGCTAATGCTGCATCGTGCCATGTGGGGAGAATCAGGGATCAAATTAAATTATTACAAGGTTGTTGCTCCCTTTGTTAGCCATGTCGTTACAGTAGGTAAATGGATAGAAGCCTAAATAAGCTATTTTCCTATTGTTTTACATTGTTACGACAGATTGTGTAAAATTAGATGCTATCACACAACTTAAAGTAGATTTTTGTTCAGAAAGTCACAGAAACGAAAATTGATGTTTTGAAATCTTTTGTTTTTACAAGTATGTTTTGTTGTATTGCTGCGTTTTGTGAAAATTAATTATTACACTATTATTCATTGTTTTGTTTCACTTCACATTTAACATGTGTCTCATTTTACTGACACCATTTAATTTTAATTTTTATTGTTTTTGTGTGGTCCTCAGGACGACTGGCGACCATTTTGTGGAAGCAAAGAGGGATCCAATTATAAGAATAAATTCACGTTAATTGAATATTTCAACGTTAATGGTAGTGACGGTTCTTTGGAACAATAATTTAATGTTTCTCTTCTCTAATCATAATGTGGAATATCTTAGATCTACAAAATTCACAATATCTCCAATCCAGAATTACAACTACGAGGCTGACATGAACACGCAATGTTGTAAAATGTCACAACTGTGGCAAATTTAGTGCACATTTAGCTTACAGCGACACAACCAGCAGACTCTGCTAACAAAAGGAAACAGTTCAGCCTCTATTTTCATTCAGCAAACAAAAATCTGTAATGTGCATGTTCAGTAAAAGCTAACTTTCACCGCTAAGCTAACGCATACAGCTAACATTAACACATATTGTTCAGACGACATCTTTTCACAAAGAGACACCTTTCAGCTAAAAAACACCGCTAACTGAAACAGTTCAACCACCACACATTCATCCAGCTAACAAACAGTTGAGGTAACGCACATCTTTTTGCTAACAAACATCGTTCGTTGAGCTAACTAGCGCGTTTAGCTAACACGCTAGTTTAGCCACTACATTGCTAACAGAATCAATAACTTCATTGTTCAGCTCCTAACACTTCTTCTACAAACACATCAGCAAAGTAGAAATGCAGAACTAAGATACAACAACAATAATAAAGTTTCACTTTGTAAGAAAATAGTCTTTTCCCCAGTTTTTGTAATGAAAGTTGAGGCGGGGAAACGCGGTGTCGGCTGGAGGTTTAAATCCTGTGTAGGACACAAACTGTTTGACCACAGAGAGATCTGGCTTTAGACAACGCAATATAAATCGTCATTTATTCATCATTACATCATAAAAACTAAAGAATCACTATAAAGATACAGGAATAAGAACTATCATCAAACCAAAAGAAAACAAACGCGTCATTGCACCTCCAAGATGGCGACTAAACAGGTAAAATTAGATAGAGAACAAACAGACCCAGCGAGCACAAATTTAGTACAAAAAACAGTTTTGTCTTTGACGGTAAAACATTGAATTTCCATCTGACGCTATTAAAATATTTCTATGCCAAAATAAAAAAAAATAATAACTGAGAGTCAACACACACAATCTGACGCATGCTTTAAAACATTATCATAAACAAAATAATAATAATAATATCTGATTTTCTTACTCAAGACTGCTAAGCCTTATACCGTTTTCTTATTGGAAAATAAACTAGACAAAATATAGATTATACTGGATTTTTTTTGTTCAAAGCCACACTGATACATCTTTAAGTTCAAGTTTGATAAAAAATAAAACAAAAAGAAAAACCAGGTCTACACTGTGGAGAGACCAGAGGCTAGTCCAAAAAAATCTGCCCGACAAAATATCAACTTTGTAAGGTTAAAAAACAGAAAGAAAAGAGTTCGTGATTTTTCAGTTAATCCTTAGTTTTTCTCTACAAAAGGAAGGAGGAAGCGGCAGAGCGTTGCTAGGAAACCCCGATTCGGTTGCCGTCGACGACCATCCGATGAGGGAGGAGCCTCTAGTGATCCTGAAGAGACAGGAAATTACATCACTGTTACATGTAGAGTTGTTTACATGGTGCAAAAATGTCATCATTACATTCTAAACATGATAAATATAACACTGAATTTATCGAAAACTTTTTGATGATGTGTGTTATTACAAACATAAATACAAAATAAAAGTTAACACCAATTTCACTGGATTTTCATTTGACTCTAAAGAACATATTCAGACTCAAACTAATGAACACTGAAAACAGTAATGAAATGAAGAATAATGTGTTTCTCTAAATTTAAGTGATAAGTTTATCTAAATGATTTTTAAAAATGTATTATTTTAAAATATTTATTTAAATTCCTATTCTTGTTTTTGTTTTTAAGTACATGTTTGCAAACTGTTTTATATGTCGATGCATTTCAGTAAAGATGGAAAAAAAAGTGACGTTTATGTTAAAACTCCTCCTATGGTTTCAGCAGAACTTTCTTATTCTGTATTTAACATTTTACAACACTGATCAAAACACACACAGTAAAACAGGAGGAGAAAAATAGAAAAGAGTAATGCATAAGAAATAACAATAACAGCACAAAGAGACAAACCAGGGCCTGTATCAGGTGAGGTACAGGTGTGCTGCAGCTTCCTGTGTGTTACCTGTATCTGGGCGGGGTTCCACAGGTAGGGCTGCTGTCTGTAGTATTCTGCTAACGCTGCAGTGTAGTCTGGCACCGAACTCTGCTGAGACGACTGACCTGCAGACACATTCATGGACATGAGGACACGTCAGCGTCTCTGCTGGTTTTTTAATGAATAAAACAATCTGTGAACACCTGAACACATCATCACCTTTAAGGTAACATGTCGAACATGTGATTTAACTGTTAATTTCCTCATCCAGCAGCTACAGATCAACATGATGATTCATCAGGACTCTGTGTTTGTGTCACCTGATGAATGTCAGTCCAATATTCTCTCTATTAGCTCTGAGTTTGGTCTCCACCAACTCCTCAGATAAATATCTGTTTATGTAGCTGCTGAAAGCTCCACCAGCTACAGCGTACCTGAGCAGGTAGAGTCTCTGTGAAGCTGAGGGGAGCAGTACAGCACATACATCAATTTGAAATAGCATTGGGCCTATGGTGGCTCAGAGGAAGAGCAGGTCGCCCACTAATCAGCAGGCTGTTCCATCGGTGTGTGAGTTTGATAAATGCTGCCTTGTATGGCAGCCTCGGCCACCAGTGTGTGACTGTGTGTGTGTGTGAAAAAAAAAGTGCTTTGAGAAGTCAGATGACTAGAAAGGTGCTATACAAGTGCAGACAGACAGACAGACACAGGTGTCGTACTCTGTTTCTTGTAGTAGTCCTCCCAGGCCTTACTGTAGTCTGTCATCAAGCTCTGCGGCTGGCTCTGCTGACCTGCAGACACACAAACACACAGACAGTCTGACAGTGTTCATGTCCTGGACTGATTCCATCATCTCCCAGTTCATCCAGCGCCAAACCTCCAAACCAGTCACACCAGTCCATCACAAACAAACACATCAGTCATTTCTGCCAGCCTGCTGGGACTACTGTGTGTGTGTGTGTGTGTGTGTGTGTGTGTGTGTGTGTGTGTGTGTGTGTAGACTTGCCTAGCTTCTTATAGTACTGCTCCCATGCTTTAGAGTAGTCCATCTGTCCTGTCTGAGCCACACTGTGACCTACACACACACACACACACACACACACACACACACACACAAAGAGAGTCTTAATTGTAGGACTCAAAACCAGTGTGTGTTTAAATATGTGTGTGTGTGTGCATGTATGTGTCTATGTACAGTCTACTGTGTGTGTATGTGTAGGTACACACCTCAGTACACACTGTGCAGCTCCTTTTATTGTATTATTCTTATAGACACACTGACTGTCAGTAAACAGTATGATGTTTGTTGGTGGGCGGGGCTTAGCTGGAGGCAAAACAGTTCTCCACAGACATTAGCTAGCGCTAGCTAACAAGTTGTGTTGTCTTGTTTTAGACGATGGAGGAAGATGATGTGAGTGGTGCGTTCAGAAACACTCATTGTGAGTGTGGGAGCGCACTCTGACACAAACTGGAGCGTTGATAAATTGGGAGCGCTGTCTGAATGTAGCGTTGGGTTATCCAGAGCAGCGCACTCTCAGAGTGGCAGAGCGCACTCTGGACACTCTGTCTGTGGAGACGGAGCAGCAGAGCGCCGAGCGGAGTGAATGTGTGATTAACTTAACCGTTGGTTCATTCATGTAGAAATATAACGCTGCGTTTCTTCCACCAACAGGGCTCTCATTTTAGTGTAGAGCGTCAGACTGAATTTACCAACGCACCATGTCAGGTCACTCACTCTCCGGGACCGCCAGTGTTACTTGAATAAGTAAACACTGACCAACGGGACCAGACTGGCCGACCCGTATGCTCTCACTCAGTGGATGGATGATGTCACAGGAAGCCAATCTTACAAAGGAGGACCACACTTGTTTGTTTTGCTATGGAAGCTAACGTTAGCTAATGTGCTAAAAAGTTAGCGTTGCAGAGAAATCCAATCTTCCTCTTAATCCCTCCCCAGTTTCTGATGAGGTGGACATGATAACCCTTAATACACATAACCTTATTCATCCCTACAACAGGAAATACTTTTTCCCTAACCTGATATGAAGTGTGCGCTGCACATGTGAGCATTTTTGATGATGGCCTCCGTCCAGTCCTTTGGTCTTATCACATTTAACCATAGTTGTCTTTGTTTTTGTTGACGGGCAGTGGCGGCTGGTTTTGAGCCATGACTCCTTCTATTCTGGCTCCCAATAACACAACAAGACAAACACATTTTAACTCTCTTATGGAGCCTACAGCCCTGTGGGGGAGAGGCAGCTGCACCTCCAGCTGATAACATGTTGACACCGTGATGTCGGCCCTAAAGGGTCTATTTAATGTTTATTATATATATATATTTTATATTAGGGTTGAATCTAATACTTGGATGAAGCCAGTATCCTGGACAGATAACGGACTTTCAAGTAAAGTACCATCTGAGTAAAATGACGGCAGCTGTGTTTAATAAAAAAATAATCTGAGGCTGATCTATAAATACTTTTCTCAGAGGTAATACATATTGCAACTTCTGATTAGGCCCAGCCCAGTTTCAGTTTAAACTCCACCCACTTCTGATTTAGACCCATCTGTTCTGAGTAGAGACACAGATAATGGTGTCCTTGCTCATCTCTAAATGTTCTTCGGCACAATGCATGATGGTTTAAAGAGCTTGGTTGGTGGTTGTACTTTGCACAGTGCATTGTGGGATACCTTGAGTCCACGAGGGTACGATAACACTCACTATACATCAGAAAAGCACTAAACAAAATCAGGGGTTGGTTGCACAGAACACCTTAAGCTAAGATTTTCCTTTAAGTCCTAGTTTAGTGTGTGTGTGTGTGTGTGTGTGTGTGTGTGTGTGAGAGAGATAATGTAAACAGGTGCTCTGGACAGATGTGCACATGTTGATGATCAGCCTCGAGCGTGTTTCACCACTTTGACTGCTGAGTGCTTCTGTTCTTATTCAGCTGTTGTTCAGACGGATCTTTGTCTCTTTGCATCAAATCATTGTTCAGCATTTTGTTCTCATTTTACTAAACTAAATAATATCTGTTAATGAAGACGAGTTTCTACTGAGCACATCAGAGAGCATTCAGACATCTGGACACATCTTGGACCACAGCAGCTCTGTGACATTATTCACTTTACAACAACTTACATATATAGATATGTGAGTGAGTGTGTGTGTGTGTGTGTGTGTGTGTGTTACCAGGGTCTTGTTGTCCAGGGTTCTGCCAGCTGGTCTGATAGGTGTTTCCCCAAACGCCAGTCAGGAAGGTCTGACCGCTGCCACAGCTACACACACACACAACACGACAAAACACACACATCAATAAAACACACTGCTCAGAGTACAGGTACTCACACACACTGCAGGGTTAATATCCGGTGACTGCTGCTACAGACTACAAACCAACCAATCAGAACACAGCAGGAGGCGGAACAGAACACACACGGTGACGAGACTTTAAAGACTTCGCCACTGAATCAAGTTTTAACAGAAAAATCTTCTGCAGTCAGATATTTCTGTTGAAGCCTCACAATTCAGCTGCATTCATCATCATCATCATCATCATCATCATCACATCTCAATCAGATCAGTATGAGACGTTGGATCTTACTTCTGGTGTGTGGCGGGGCCCTGGGTGAAGGGGCTGAAGCCAAACCCTCCGTTACTCATAATACCTGAACCCTGAAGAGGAGAAACAGGAAGTACAACTGATTAACACATTCCACCTTAAATCTGTCACCTCTCATCATCACATTAACATCAACTGTACCTCACTGTAACAGCTGTGAACTGGAGAGACCTTTTTATTTATTCATACAGACTGATATTTGTTTTTGCTGATAAATCATCACTGAAATTGTCTGCTTTGTGGGTGGAGCTTCACGCTCACAGCTGAGCTGAAGGTGCTCGGGCCCTAATAATGAGGACACTAATAAAAACAATGCAGTCAAATTCATCACAGCACTCAGAGGGTCTGCAGCTGTGAGGTGTTTCAGTCAGAGAGCTCAGGTTTCAGACTGAAGTCAGACTCAGCAAACATAAACCTGGATCATGATGAGGTCACACTGGGTTGATTTAAGACTCAGCTGCAGAGGTACTAGCTGAGTAGACAGTTTGAGATGGTGTCTCTGTGAGGAGGTGCGTTTGTTTTGCGTACCCCGATCTTGTCGTCTATGAGCTGGCGGGCCAGGTCCATCTGCTGGGCGGTGCCTCTGATGGTGAAGACTCTGGTGTTGGGGTCGGTGGAGGGGGGCGGGTTCCTCTGCAGCTCCACGTGAGCTCCAGACTGCTGGTTAATACTCTTAATGGTTTCTCCACCTGTGGACAAACAGACAGGAACTCTTTATATACAGAGGAGGCGCTAGAGAGCCGCTACGACGTTCCTTCATACTGCCTTTACATTTTTACACAAACGATGACATCATCATGTGGCTCCAGTGTAAAGTCAGACAGCAGGATGACATCACAGAATCAAACAAGGCGTGACATGTAACACAACAGCGTCAGCCTCTAGTGTGACATATAACATACGTGTCAGCAGCTCTTTATAAACAATAACAAAGACATCACATGTCAATAACAATCATTTAGTGTCCCTGTTATATGGCGGCTGATCTCGTCCTCTGCTCGGAGGGTAAGGAGCTCCTGGACCTCATTGTTTAAGTTAGCTGCTAACAGCTGGTGTTCTTCTTCTGTGAGTTAGCTGCTAACAGCTGGTGTTCTTCTTCTGTGAGTTAGCTGCTAACAGCTGGTGTTCTTCTTCTGTGAGTTAGCTGCTAAGTGCTAACAGCTGCTGTTCTTCTTCTGTGAGTTAGCTGCTAACTGCTAACAGCTGCTGATTAAATCTCCCGCAGTGGGTTGCACACGTAACACGTTGTCAAACGTCACACCCGTCCTGCCCATGATCCCGTCCTGTAGGCTGTCCCTCTAAGACATCATTTCAGTGCTGACAGCTTAAAAACGAGATAACTCCGCCCCCATATTCTGCGATCGGAGCTTTTACAAAGACCAATGAGGTGGAGTAATGGTGCAAAATTCTCACAAAGAAAATCTGCACTGTTTTCAGTCTTGAATTTTGCTCCTGTGTAGATGTGAAAGTCTCAGCTGGTCTGACTGAGATGAATCAGTGTTATGTTTAATGACATGTTCTGTTTTTATGAACAGTTCTCACAGCGTCCCTGTGCTTTCTGGAATTGGGGTTGTTTATTAACTAATTTTTACTTTTAGCTCCAAGAACATTTTAGTTCCTCTTTTAACTGAACAGGAGGCCATTAAGCACAACATATTTTAGGGTTAATGACACATTTGAGATTTCTGTGAACACCTTAAACAGGCCGACCTGTAGAACAGTCTGAGGACAGATTCAGTGGGAGAGACTGTTTTATGTCTCAGGAATATAATCTGAAGAAGTGTTAAAATACTTAACCTGCAAAGTGTCACAGTGTTGAAAACATTTGATTGATATTTAAACAAAAATAAAAGATTTAAGGGAACAATAGTTTGATCTGCAGCCTGAAAACTGGACGCTGAAACCTTTAAACCTGAGTCAGATGATGGTTGAACCAGTGAGTCTGAAACCAGGGCAACCATCACCACCTCCTCCTCCTCCTGTTCCTGCTCCTCCTCCTCCTCCTCCTCCTCCTGCAGGTCAGCAGAATAGCCTGCCATCATTAACTCTTTGTTAACCAAATGAGGAGACGTTAATGGACCTTTTATGAGGCAAGAAGCAGAGCGAGTCAGTGAGCAGGATATTTAAAGGTTTTTAGAATAAATCTCCTCATTGTTCAGACTTCATCCGTTTATATTTGTTCTGCTTTTAGTCCTTTAAATTTCAACAGATTTTATTTTCAGCACCAGTGTTTTACATTTTAGGTCCTGACTGTTGATCCGTTCTGAGTTTACAAAACACTGATGTGTCAATTTGAAGAAACTTAAAGTCAGATTTTTAAATTTCCATTTGTTTTAATTTCAGAATCTTAAATCCTTTTATATTGCATCACTTTTGCCTGAAGTTTTAACACCGAATCCCACATTTAATGATCGTTACATTCATGTGATTAAAAATCATGTTAAAATCATTTTTGTTGACATGTTCAAAGTGTTTTAAACTGTTCGCCCTGTTTTCTTTTTCTTTTCTTTTTTTTGGTGTTGTTTTGTTTTGTTTTTTTGTTTTTGTGCTTTGTTGTATTTTAGGTAGTCCTGTGTAACATCTCAGCCGAGGGACGACAGATGAAAAACAGCCATTTGGCTAATTGTGGCATTTTTATACATCTGTATTTATTAATTTGCCCTGTTCATTCTTAAATAAACTACACTAAACATGTCATAAAAACTCTGAATACATGTATCTGATGTTTCTGTCTGAATATTATTCCAATGGATTGTCTACATAATTAAAGGACAAGTCAAATTTTACTTTAAAGATTTATAATTATTAAACTAATTCTTAGTTTAAGTTCCAGTTAAAATATTTGTCATATAATCCTTATTCTTTTTAATCTTACTTCAACACTGAATCTGATGCCTTGAAATCAAAAATCATTTGTTTAATTTAGTTGAAATGTGCTGTGAAAAAGCTGCAGTGTGTGTGTGTGTGTGTGTGTGTGCACACAGACAGTAGGACATTCACAGGTCCAACAGAAAGTCCCGGTGAACAATGGGCCACCAGACGCACACACACAGACCATATGGTGTCTAAACATCGGGTACTTGACATTTCTTTTTTTTTCAGTTGCTTTTATTTTGGAAGCTGCTGCTCGACCCTCTTGACCTCCACACACACACACACACACACACACACACACACACACACAGATGAATGGTTGATGTTTCTAAATAGAGATGGAGCGAGGCTGATGGGGCTCGTTGTTCTTCAGTCACGTGACTTTGTTCTCAGCTGTTTTCAGAACACACTGAATCATCAGCTGGATCAGTACGGCTGATTATTAATGAGAAAACTGCTGAACTGCACAGAAACAAAAAACAGTTAAACTACTGCCGAAATAATCACACAAATGTGTTTATTTACAGCACTCTACTAATTCTTTACTTTTGTACTTTCTTCCTCTCTACTGTGTTTTTTACTGCACCGTACTGTGTTTTACTGCACCGTACTGTGTTTTACTGCACCGTACTGTTTTTTACTGCACCGTACTGTTTTTTACTGCACTGTACAGTATTTTACTGCACCGTACTGTGTTTTACTGCACCGTACTGTGTTTTTTACTACTGTGTTTTTTACTGCACCGTACTGTGTTTTTTTACTGCACTGTACTGTGTTTTTTACTGCACCGTACTGTGTTTTACTGCACCATACAGTGTTTTACTGCACTGTACTGTGTTTTACTGCACCATACTGTGTTTTACTGCACCGTACTGTGTTTTTTACTGCACCGTACTGTGTTTTTTACTACTGTGTTTTTTACTGCACCGTACTGTGTTTTACTGCACCGTACTGTGTTTTTTACTACTGTGTTTTTTACTGCACTGTACTGTGTTTTTTACTGCACTGTACTGTGTTTTTTACTGCACCGTACTGTGTTTTTTACTGCACTGTACAGTGTTTTACTGCACTGTACAGTGTTGTACTGCCCTGTACTGTGTTTTTTTTTACTGCACTGTAATGTGTTTTTACTGCACTGTACAGTGTTTTACTGCACTGTACTGTGTTTTTTACTGCACCGTACTGTGTTTTTTACTGCACTGTACAGTGTTTTACTGCACTGTACTGTGTTTTTTACTGCACTGTACTTTGTTTTTTACTACTGTGTTTTTTACTGTACTGTGTTTTTTACTGCACTGTACTGTGTTTTTTACTGCACCGTACTGTGTTTTTTTACTGCACCGTACTGTTTTTTACTGCACCGTACTGTGTTTTTTTACTGCACCGTACTGTGTTTTTTTACTGCACCGTACTGTGTTTTTTACTGCACTGTACTGTGTTTTTTACTACTGTGTTTTTTACTGTACTGTGTTTTTTACTGCACTGTACTGTGTTTTTTACTACTGTGTTTTTAACTGTACTGTGATTTTTACTACTGTGTTTTTTACTGCACTGTACTGTGTTTTACTGTGCCGTACTGTGTTTTTTACTGCACTGTACTGTGTTTTACTGTGCCGTACTGTGTTTTTTACTGCACTGTACTGTGTTTTTTACTGCACTGTACTGTGTATTTTTACTGCACTGTACTGTGTTTTTTACTGCACCGTACTGTGTTTTTTACTGCACTGTACTGTGTTTTTTACT